TGTTCTGTTTTAATTAAATAAATGTATTTAACTTAATTTTTATATATTCATTTCAAATTAATTGATATTAATAAATTATCAAACAACACTTTTTCAATAATAATAAAACGTAAATTATTAAAGTAATAATTTTAATTACATTGATAATTAGAACGTTACTTTAAACAAAGAAATAAATAATAATGACATATTAATTAAATAAGTACATAAAATAAATAATAAATAAATAAAATCAATAGTAAATAAATATAAATGTAGATTTGTTTAAAATTTTACTGCACCGTGCATCGCATTGCCAACCTTATTTGCATTAAAATACGTTCCACTTTTATCTTTTACATACATTCCACATTGAACCAGAAAGTGAACCAGATCAATTGCTGGTTCACCCCATTGTTTTTGTTTTGCATGTAAAATTGAGCGGATCATGTTTGCTGAAACACAGCTAATAATGGAAAACGTCATTTCGATCATTTTAATTATTTCTTTTACTTTTTTAAAGTTTTTTTGTTTTCAAGTGAAAAGAAACTTTACAAAAAATAACGGTAAATGGAAGACAAATTTATTTTACAACAAAATCATGTCCAATATGCATAATACCTATTCTTTCGCACACGCATGCATGTGAGACAACCACAGTTACCGCCGCCAGTCTGGCTGTCGCCTGTCTATCTTTTTTTTTGCGATCTTTTCTTCACTTGAAGCAAAATCAAAGCATTTAGTAGTGGTTTGGTTTGCTGTATGAGCGGTTGTGTTGGGAGTAGAGCGGAGTGATCGCGGTTGATGGAGAGTGATATTTTCTAATTTAATAATAATTTATACAGAGTTAAAAATAAAAAATGTCTATTTAAATATTGATAAAAATGTTCATATATGAAAACGAATTGTGGTTGTGGTTTTTACATAAAAAAGCGCTAAAAATTAAAAATTTTTATTAAATAATACTATATAAATTATAAATGTGTTTATTTTTGTAAGTATATATTCAAGTATATTAAAAATCTAATATAATATACTACATAAATATGCAATAGTAATAACATTTTTCTGATAGGAATGTTGCCTTCGATGAAATGGTTGGTTTTTTTGAGAATTTTGTCTTTCAAACCTACAAGTTGTATGAAATCAGATTACAATGATCTTAGTCTTTATATATACACATAATTTGTATTTACTTACTGATCACTTGCTACCTAGTCATGACTCGTTTTTTTCCAAGGCATCTTTGTCTCTTGCAGAAACAGACTAAAGAAGTTGTGTTTTAAATGATTAAATGATTAGTAGAAATTTTTGTTTTAAGTGATACTTTTACGTCTTAATCAAACTTGCTACGAATAAATCAGTAACGCTTGTACCTCAGACATCTTTTCGAAACCTTTGTTCTTCCCAGTAACAAAGAAGAATTTTTTTAATATTTCTTATCTAGAAAAAAGACAGTTCTTCATTTTGTAACCAGTTTCTTCTTACTATGAATATATTTATATGTTCATATGTATATATATTTGTAAAAAAACTTATACGAAATTTATTGAAATAAAATGAAAGAGGAATGTAGATATTAAAAGTAATATTATAGTAGAAAAATCATCAAAACAATTATCCTACCATCTATATTATATGCTGATTATATCGATCTATATGGTATTGGCGATTTGATTGCTACAGTCTGACGTTTTTTTCTATAATTTAATAATAATAGAAGTACCAATTGTAAATACCTTCCATGACATTTTCACTTTAGTTATTTAAGCATAATAATAGTAAAAAACGTGATTGTAAGCAGTTAAAGTTTCTCATAAAATTAAATACATGGAAACCTTAATAGTCGGAAAACTCAAAGAAGCTAATTTAAGATATAATTTTATGAAGTCGTAAATTTTAAAAACAATGTAATGAAGTTTGAATCTAGCAAGAATATTTCCATTAAACGTAAAAATTCTAAAACATTAAAATTTAAATGGACGCATTTGCATGCTAATCGAAAAAAAATTTAGTATCTTAAATGCGAATTCAAATTTTATTTTTGTGGACAATAAAAATAAAAATAAAAATTTATTATTTAAAAAAATTCAAAAAATAAGGTTTTGCTGTATTTTCAATAGAATGAAAATAATATTAAATATTAAATACGAATAGTATCAGTCCTGCTAGAATTATGGCACTCTAAAGGAATTTGTGGCAATGGGTTTCCTCGGGAACAGAAAAATGGATGTCTTACAATAATGAGATTAAAATCTCTTAAAATTCCAGTGCTGATATAATTTATAAAACTGCATCTTAAATGTTAAGAAACATTCTAAATAATCTGTATAACCAGATATTTTCGACAATTAATGGATTGAATGAAATAACAATTTTGTTCTTATTGTTAAAAATCTTATAAAACTTTATTGTTGTCATTGTTGATTTCTTCATGACAACTTAAAAGTGTGAAAACAAATTATGTGGTTAATAATTTTGTTAAAAAAACATATAACTTGTGGAAATACATTTTTCCAAATAAATTATATTCAATTGTTTATGGAATTTATTTATTCATTACTTGAAAACCTTAAGAATTTATATTAAATCGAAAATTCGAAATAATCTATAAATCCATTAAAATTTGTGTTTTAAGCCAAGATTTTCCCAAATTTACATAACTTGAATTCGCTCCAGTACGCACATAACAAATCACATTATCAAAACCGTCTATAAAGTTAGCTACATCAGTCTTAGTGAAAACAAACTTATCTCTGGTATTATGTATGTGTTTCAAGTACTCTTCATACACATTATATACATCCGCCAGACATGATTTTATATCCTCATGGCATCCGTACTTGAAGTATCCATACTTCTCCAACTGAAGGATAATTTTTACGTTATTTGCTGTCGGAAACATTCTGATGTACAATTGAGAGTGTATCTAGATATAGGGAATATTCGAAAATAATACGAATAAGGTCAGAATAAATTATAAATTTATTTTACCTGAGCACTGCTAAGATATATATATATCTGCAATAAATGGAAAAAAATAACTTTAAATGATTGTTATTGTTGTATATATTAATTGAAATAAAAAAAATCTTAAAACAAATATTAAATAAAAATGAATTTGATATATGGATTCTATATGTATTGTATTTAAATGATCTTGTCCGATCTCAATCATAATATATACATACTATATATTTCATAATTTTTTGAAATTTATATTTTTTAACAAAATTAAATATGTAATTATTATGTCTATATTCGGGTACGTACTTCGTAGTTAAATGGTCCGTGGTCCGCAAAAATAGCAGTCAGTTTAAATTTTATTATAAAGTTCATAGATTTTCGTATACAAAAATGCGTTGACTATTTTTGAATCATCAAAATTATTTTTATGAACTACAAAGTGCAGTTATATCCATTAGTCATTAAAAAATTTAAGATTGTAAAAGTAATATTTGATGTTAATATATTTAAAGGACTAAAATACTAGAATAGTGCTTCACAACTCAAAACGTGGTGTAAGGCTATTAAGATATTTAATATATTTTGCAATGAACGGTAACGATATTTTTTTCAAAAAATGTCATGACGAATATATCTTAATCCAAGACTTATTGTGAGCCAAAAAAATGATCAATCTGTTTCGCACAGACCAGTACTAATATTTTCTCAAGAAATACTGTCGTTAAATATAATTATTTCCGTACCGGTAATATTAATGGATTTGAGTACTGTAGAAAAATATAAGTATCCACATCAATATGATAAATTTTTTACTACTTCTATTAAAACCGTTTTGAAGTGTGTAGGTGCACTATACTATTAGATATACCATAATTCAGTTTTCACTGTCTCTATTAGTTTCTACAAAGTTTCTTCGGAATGAGTTTTTAGAATTTTTTTTATTATCACAGTACCAAAAAAGATGGCGACCCGAACAAGAAGTCGAAGCCAACAAGAAGACGACACGAACAAGAACAAGACGGTGGCGTAAATTAAAACCCGAGAAAACTCAAATAATTACTAATCAAATTTTAATAAAGCAAGAATAATATAGAAAATATATTTTAATCTTTATACAATTAAAATTCAGTTTAATTGATTTATAAAATCACATAATTATTCAGGACAGAAAATTTGAATTTTTTTATAGCACTTAATTAAATTTATTACTTGACCAATTAATAATACTGCTCATTACTAATAAATTAATTTAATATTATTATTACCTGTGTAATAGTATATGTTAAGTATATGTTAATAAGCTGAAGTAACTTTAAAGCAAATCTTCCACCAATAATTTTTCAAAATGCAAACGTTCGGAACCACACGTCTTAAGCATACGAGGATATATTACCGAATGCAACGATAAGAAGTGAATACGTATAAGGGCCATGTTATGCAGACTGTCTCGGGCACGGCATGAGTACAATTGTTGTTGTTTTCAATGCAAATTTTAAATTTGAGAATGAGAGAAAAAACAATATGGCCGTTCAAACTCAGGCATGAGAGCCGGCGTATTTTTACCCCGGCACTAAGGCAAAACAGTGTTGTTTAGTAATAAATTTCAAAATTTGCGCCTTTTAGGAGCAAACTACTACAATTCTAGTACGTTTTGAAGAAAAAATGGCAGTAAACAACACAGCATTTTTTTTATAAATCACTAATAAGATAATTATTACACTTTCCGATTTTAAAGCAACGCGTAAGTACTGTTAACAATTATTATAAGATAATATAATAATAAATTAACATTATTACAGCCTCTATGAGTTTTTTCATGCGAGTTATTTTTGGTGGCAAATTGAAAGTGAGCCTATCTAAATTTCCTTTTAAATTAAGGCACAACCAAGAAGTAGTAAAAATACAAAATTGGCAATACTGATGTGACACTCTGCATAACATGCATTTTCGGCATAGCCCGAAAGAGCGTAATAACTGAACTATTTCTACAAGCAAAATGGCGATTTCTGCTGAATTCTACGTCAGTAGTCCAAGGTGCTAAAAAACTCGATTTCGAACTGTAGAATCGGTTGGTTGTGTACTTGTTAGTAAAAACAGTTTTGTGCTTGTGCCAAGTCAGCGGTTTAATATATTTGTTATATATATATATATTTAAATAAAAAATTTAATAAAAGCAAAAATGTGTGACGAAGAAGTTGCTGCCTTAGTTGTTGATAATGGTTCCGGTATGTGCAAAGCTGGTTTTGCAGGTGATGATGCACCACGTGCCGTGTTCCCATCAATTGTTGGTCGTCCCCGTCATCAGGGTGTGATGGTTGGTATGGGTCAAAAAGATTCATATGTTGGTGATGAAGCACAAAGCAAACGTGGTATTTTGACTTTGAAATACCCAATTGAACACGGTATTGTAACCAACTGGGATGATATGGAAAAGATCTGGCATCATACATTCTACAATGAATTGCGTGTTGCACCAGAAGAACACCCTGTCCTACTTACAGAAGCTCCATTGAATCCAAAGGCTAACCGTGAGAAGATGACACAAATTATGTTCGAAACCTTCAACACACCCGCCATGTATGTGGCTATTCAGGCTGTGCTTTCATTGTACGCTTCCGGTCGTACAACTGGTATTGTGTTGGATTCTGGTGATGGTGTCTCTCACACTGTACCAATCTATGAAGGTTATGCCCTGCCACACGCCATTTTGCGTTTGGATTTGGCTGGTTGCGATTTAACTGATTACTTAATGAAAATCTTGACTGAACGTGGTTATTCATTCACAACCACAGCCGAACGTGAAATTGTACGTGACATTAAAGAAAAATTGTGCTATGTTGCACTCGATTTCGAACAAGAAATGGCAACAGCTGCCTCCAGCTCATCATTGGAGAAGTCCTATGAATTACCCGATGGACAAGTCATCACCATTGGTAATGAACGTTTCCGTTGCCCAGAAGCCCTATTCCAACCATCATTCTTGGGTATGGAAGCTTGCGGTATTCATGAAACCACTTACAATTCCATCATGAAATGCGATGTCGACATCCGTAAGGATCTTTATGCTAATACTGTATTGTCTGGTGGTACCACCATGTACCCAGGCATTGCTGATCGTATGCAAAAGGAAATCACTGCTTTGGCTCCATCCACAATGAAGATTAAGATTATTGCCCCACCAGAACGTAAATACTCTTTTTGGATCGGTGGCTCAATTTTGGCATCACTATCAACCTTCCAACAGATGTGGATCTCCAAACAGGAATATGATGAATCTGGCCCATCAATTGTGCACAGAAAATGCTTCTAAGCTGCTTAAGCTTACGATGACTGCCGTATTAGCCGTATTAGTGGTATAAAATGAAACGTAAAGAATGAAGAAAATTAATTGAAATGACTATGTTAAAAATTGAGTAGAAGGAAAAAACCTAGCACGTAAGATTGTATTACAAAAACAATGTCATTAAAACTATTAAAACAACAAAATACATCTAAAGTTGTTTGAAATAATTCAATGAAATACACCTACACATACAAGAACAATTTACAACATCAAAAAGACATCCCAAAACTGCAAATTATTATTAATTTTTTAATTTTTTTTTTTAATAACTCGCAAATGTATTATTATTTCTTAATTATTATTATTATATAATTATATAAAAAAGATGAAAAACTGAAAAATAAGAAAACACATTTTGTCCTTTTCGAAAACAAAGGCAAAAGAGAAAATTAATTAATAAACTACTAAACTACTATTTTTTAGTAATAATTTGTAAGAGAAAATCGTATTGTGATTGTCAAAACAAATTGCTACCTGAGCGAGTACTGAATCAAAAATATTTCTAATCAGAATATCGTTATCCATTCACACGATACTGACAGACCAGAGAAACCGTTGCAATTTCTTAACTAGATAAATTGACGTCCCTTTTAATGATTTTTAAATATTGTTATTGGTTATATGAAGATTGTTTATGAATTATTTAAAGAAAGGGATTTGTTCTTCTCTGAACTCGCTATTAGGTATGTATTTTAGAGGATTTGTTATAGACAATAATGACAATAAAGCAATACAGCTTTAAAAAAATGAATATAATTTTCACACAACCTATTTTTAGTCGAAGAATTATCTTAAAGGATTGTATTAACAATTTTCGAACTAATTGTTTTTATTTGGGTATTTTCTAATGTAACATACAGTGTACTAAGCATGATATAGACGATGCTACATGTATGCAAACCAAGTGCGCCGTGCTACCAAATCGCACTGTGTATATTCAAGTGTGAATACCAAATTTCGGTCAGCAGACTTATATACGGTAAAATTACACATTATTTCGAAGAGTATAGCAAAGTTCATACTTGGTGAGTATACATGTAGCATTGTCTATATCAGGCTTAAGTATTACTATATTATTATCAATGTGTTAGATGAATTTTTCAGGACTTCCAATATAAAAGATTATTAATCTCCACTTGTAGAAACATCGATGGTTTAATGATCTCTATTCCAATCTTAAAGACGAAAAATCTCTGTGATGAATTTCAAGTATTACATTTGCATTTCAAATTTTATTCATTCCACAAGCTACAAATTTTATTCAGTCTGTTCCACAAGCTACTAGCAGTAACTTTGAGTAATACTTTGAGTAATACACAAGTGCGTTCCACCAGCAAATTTTCGAGTAAATGATAGCATCTAAGAGAGCGTAACATCCCTGTCGAAAATTATTAAATTCTCGAAAAGTACATTTTATTTAAAGTAAAATTTGTGTAGATGTGTGAATCAGCTGTTTTGGTTTGAACTCAAATGTTTGTATTATTTATTTGGGCGGTACTAGTGTTCTCACCCGACTTTGACTTTACACAAAGCTGTTCCATGAAAATATGTGTAAAGAGCGTTATTTGCCACTTTATTTGTGTTACGCTCTCAGTTTGTACTTTACTTGTGTTTTACTCGAGGTTTACTAGGAGTAGCTCATGGAACAGACCTATTATTTCGTTATTTGTTTTTTACCAGACTGATGTTTCTTTTAAATTTGAAGATCTATTTTCTGTAGTCAATGCATCATGGATTACAAATAACAAAGAATATTACACAAATTCATTTCTGCTAGTATTCGATTGTGCAACCCTGATCTTTTTTTTTTCTTCTCGATTTTTGTCATATTCTCTCTCATATTTTTAATTCATTCTTTATTTTTAACAAATATTTTGTAGATGAGTTTTCATCTTCCTCTGCTGTTCTGTAATTTGACGCTTTGGTTATTCTAATTGTTTGGCTTGAATTAAATTATAAAAAATGTAAGCAAATAACTAAATGTGTTTATAAATAAATTTTAAATAAATGTTATTTATGGACATTACAGGCCTTCATGTGTACGACTTACGGTCAACTCAGGTGTACAGTACACATTTGTACCTGAAATTGCTTGAAGTTATTGAACTATTAAGTAAACAGCGGAAGCTTATGTCTTCAATGTTGATGAGGTTGTTCCATTTTTGAAAGAATTACCAATACTTGTGATATAAATGTAAGAAAGGAATGGAAGGAAATGGCGAAGCTTACTTTTTCAACAAAACGGAAGTAAATACAACTCTACAACTTTATTTGGCATAATTTCTAGTTTCTAATTTCTATTTATATTTATTTTGTTAATAGATAATGACATTCGTCAATATTCATGTGTATTATTGAATCCTTTGAATATTTAATTTCTTGAAAAGAAATTATTTGATCAATCGCTTATCAGAAAACATTTCTGAAATGTTGTTAAATTCCATTATCTACTAAAATAATTTAATAATAGTAATTTTAGTTTTCACACAATGTTCAATTAAATATTAGCAAACATAACAATTGAGTTTTGAAATGAATATAATCATCATTCATATTGTTCATACGTCTGCAATTCTAAAAATATACAATTGACCTTAGAGAAGCCAGCTTTAGAGTAAACTCAATTCATTGCCGTCTTTAAACTTTAAAGTTCCATGGAAGAATTGATTTATATATATATCTGTATATATCTCTCTATACATATATCTCTCTATACATATATCTCTCTATACATATGTCTCTATATATATATATATCTCTATATATATATATGTCGCTATATATGTATATGTGGTAAGACAGTCTATGTTCACTGAGCTTGAAAATTACTTTGGTTACATACATGAGATCTAGATTTATTATATATTAATATATCATCATTTCTAAACGGAATATGTAATTTGGAATGCACCTGATGGGTAGTTCAACATTTTTTTTTTGCAAAATAGTTTTGCAACCGATTTACTTCGTCGGTTATTCCATCCAATACCTTTGCTTTGTATTACTAAATTGGTCTGCAAATAGCTTGAACATATTCGATTTTGCATTCACTTTTATACGTTTTTTTTTTAATTTGGACGCTATTCTAGACTGCGTTTATAGTAGTTTTTCTTTACTTTTAATACTAACATGTTATGTAAAGATCAAAGTGATTATTAGTATAACTGATAGTTATTTACTTTGGGTTAACCTTTTGGGTTATATCCATTTTTCTCTTGCACCTAACCTATCTTTTTTTTTTGAAACACTTAATGGTTTCGTTGTCATAAGTTTTGAGATTATGATATTGATTGCATGGATTGCTTTTAGTCCACACTGAACAATTTACAACTAATTAATTGTCATATATATATTTTATGCATATTTCCCACAAATTTCTGAGCACATTGTTCATCACCTAAGCTTATCTGCAATTGACTTCATTACATTTAAGTGCAGTGAAGTCAATGTGAATATAATTGCTTTATTGGTTACCAATTTAATTACTTTGCAATCAAAACATATTGAAGTTTGTGTATAATATTTCTCACACCCATCGTCCCATCTTCCCGTATTCTCAACGGCCTGAACTTATTAGTTTCTGTGGTCTAATCTGAAACGTTGTACTTTGTGGCTGGTATGGTTCCCGGATTTCATACTGTGAAGCTGGTAGCGGATAACGTGTTATTGAGCTTTAAATAGCGAACAATGCAACTTAATTAGTGTGAATATACAATGTGGAAAATGTATGCATAATTAGCGGATTTACTGATTTCATTTGCAAACATGCAAATGCAATGCACACACGTTCACGAATTTACTCGGTAACATTTCAATTTGGCCATATTTATTAAAGTCAAACAACTTCCATTCAATATCAGTAGTAATGGGGGTGATTTCCCGAATGCTCCACAGATAAATTATCCCATTTCGTAAATGATTTACTTTGTGTTTTATTGTTTCCGTAAATCAGTTTAGGCTGCTTACGGTGCTGACACAAAAGCCAACATCTGACATATTTCGCAAATATATTAAATAGGTTTTCTTTAAATTACTCGTATAGCTTAGCGACTGAAGGAACAATTAAATTGCCTTATTACTTTAATATAGGATAATACAATTTATTTAAATAAATTTCCAAATAAAAAATTTCAAATTGATTTTATTATTTTAGGGTTAACATTTAGGGTTTATATTGTTGAATTAACATAGTAGTAAAAATTGTGATATAAAACATCAAAGTTTCAATTAAGTAGTAATTAAGTAGTAAAATTCGTTGGTCAAAAGGATCTCATATTTTAGGCAGTAATAGTGCTAATATATAGTATTTCATTTTATTGATTTTTATTTCTTTATGATTATTTATTTACTTACTAGCAACCTATTGCTGTGTCTTAAACTGCCACAGTACTACAAACCAGTTATCTCTATACTGTAAGCACTTACTACACTAATATAGATCAATTACGGATAGCGCTCTGTTCAACTTAATAACTTTGCCAAAGACGCGGTCGTTCCCCTAGGCCTACTTTCTCTGACTGCCGCTTCCTCACGACATGACAAAACAAGCGTAAACGTTCGGTGTCAATTTATTGATAATTTTCATTCAATAAGTCTTTATAACTTCGTTTAGTTTTTACTTCTATATGATGCGGTAGACTTCGCCTACTCATAAAGAACCAAAAATCTTACGAAGAACTTTTGCCTTAAGCGTTCAGTACTTGTTCGTAAACAAACACGATAAATGAAACACATGTAAGAATATACGCTTTGGCCATATGGAGAGAGCTCTACATTCTAATTGAGAGAGCCCTGAATTCTACAGAAGTAACAATATGTTAGGCAACTGTACGAACTAATTTCCCCTTTTTGATTGTAAATGGCGTTAGACCTACTTTTAGTTTAGTTTAGTTAAGGGCTACTGAGTTCAATTCTGCAACTATTTCTTTATACTGTTTTATTAGAGCACTAATATTATTTGTTTCTTATTAAGAATATTTTAATATTATAAAAGCATAGAAGCCTGAAAGCCCACTTCTTAATACTCTACACTCAGACTTGATCAAATCCGAACAGTTACAGAAAATGTTTTAAGAAGTCTAATATTATTCTAGGGCGATACTCCTTAATTCCATTCTAAGCCGACATTCTTAGTCACAAATCCGCCTTATTAAAATGCTGATTTGTCAAGTAATCCACTAACTCATATTCTAGGCAGACA